CCCCCCCTTTCACAACACCCTCCTCCCCTTGTAGTCATTAGGACGCTTGACTGGCCGTTCGCGGAAAGGACGGGACACGTACGACCAGGGAGCCCAGATGACTTTCAAAAAGTACTGTACAGGTGTTTTTTTTTTTTTTTCCTCTCCACCCTTCCGTTTTAACATTGGCCCCTCCACCCCTCTCCCCAGTTAAAAAAGAAAAGAGAAAAAAAAAAGGGACGACAGCCACACCCACCCTGCTTTTTTTTGGGGTGGTGTTGCTGTTCTCCCTTTTGGTCCTGTTCATTTGATTCAATGTAAATCTGCAAATGCTGATTTAAAAAAAAAAACAAAAACAAAAAAAAAGAGAGGTAATCGCATTGAAACTGCAGTAAAGTTGTTTTTGCAGCCAACTTTTGGGAATGCGTTTGAATTGTGTATTTTTAGGAAGCCAACACGGCTAAATCTGCATTTCATTGTCCAATGGGGAATTAATTTCAAAGCGACTGTTGATTTCGTTTTGACCACTTTGTAGCTCGACGTGAATTTCAATCTCATTTGATACACATTTTGATACAAATGTCACCACTGAATGGACTCTTATTTACGTGACCAAAGGTTGTATCTTTATGCTCTGCATGCCTGGGAAGCAAGTGAAGGCGGTGGGGGTGGGGAACACTTGACAAAGTGGAAACTGTTAAAACGGGGGTACATTTCAGACCGGTACCCTATCCCTGGTACCACTTCTGTCGTGGAACCGGAGAAAAAAAGCATAACATGACCCGAGTCCACTTTACAAAAGGTGATTATATTCAAGAGCATAGTATGTCGAGTATTGCGTGAGTACTTAATGGTGCGTCATCAAGTGCTTAAAAAGTATTGTATATTCTTACGCCATTGATTCCCATTCTGCACAAAAAACGCACATGTCAAAGCACGAGCAGATTACTGGTACAACGTTAACATCGGGGCCAAGCATCTACTGATGCAGGTGCACTGTTGCAATCTACACCTCTACATGCAGTTTACACAATGTAGTTCTTGCGACACGATTGAAACGAACGTAGTTGCGGGGGCCAAGATGGTTCTAGGGCAAGGGGTGGCAAACATGCGGCTCATCTTTTTGTACAACAGTCTGTAGCCGCCTTCACACTGGCCCCTCTTTAAGTACTGCCTCGGTTTTGGCCTGTTGCCGTCTGTGTACTCGCAAATGGTCGAAAATAGGGCTGCGCAAAATATCATTTGCAATAATATCGCACTCTATCGCTAGATGTTTTTTTCCAATATCGTGCAGCCCTCCGCTATACAGTACCGCTGTATATCCATTTTGCAACAATAATACTCAACTATAATTTAGAATTTCACACAGCCTTTTAGAATATTTACAAGCAACCGCTTCTCAGCCGACAAACGCGCCATGGTTTTGCGGTTCAATGCAAAATACAGCATCGAAAATGGTTATGTGGAGCCGGATCGAATTGGCATCCAAGCTAGCTTGTTGTCCTGCCCCCAAGTCAACTGTCTTCACGTGGCAAATAATTATCCAAATGCGCTAAGCTGCAACGGCCGTGTCAATACGCACTCCGGAAGGATCAAGTGACTCAATCCCAGTTCTACCGCCCAAACTGTGAAAGCGGCTCGTCTCTCATCCAGGAAGATCTCTGTGAGGCTACTGCGTCTAACGGGAGCACAAAGGTGAGCATTACCACTTGTGTGAAAAGAAATACATGCGACTGCATTCGTATTGCACACGGAGCTCATTTCTTGATGACTTCTTCCTTCAGCTTGTCGGCCAGGTGCTTTCTCTTCTGCAGCTTCTTGCGTTCCTCCGTCGAAATCTCCTAGGAGAAGAAAAAGCTCGTGTCAAAATAAACGGCGTCCGGCATAGTGTCTGATAGGACTCACGGAGGCAGGAGGAGGAGGCGCGGGCAAGGAAGGAGAGCAAGGTGTCTCCCGGTCGGGGGCGGTGGTCTGCTTGGTGGTGCGGTCTTTCTTGAGAGCGTGCAGTTTGTCGCGCTGCTCGCGCAAGTAGGACGCCCTCTGCTGGAGACGCTCCTGTTGCGACGCCGACAGCTCCTGTTGAGGACAAAGATGTTTTGGAATATGTGGATTGAACAGAAGGCGTCAACCTTCGACTTTTTAGAATATCAGGTACACTTTATACAAGTGATGTTTTAAATGGTCCGGCTTCGTAAAGGTAATCCTACAGTTAGTGTAATTGCAGACATGTACAATTTAATGCACTTTTTCATAATTATGGAGAGCTGTTTGTAATATTTTTGTGACTAAAGGTTGCCTAAAATGACTTTTTTTTTTGTCCCCCTCTCCAAAATTTTATGTGACAGAAAAATTCTAAAAAAAATTAACATTTCATTTCTTTTTAATGATTAAAGTTGTAGGTGGTAATATTTTGTCCCTTTTTAAGTGACTAAATGCTACTAAAATTCTCTTATTCAGTTGAAACAATTTAAAGTATGATGATCACCTTTTTTTTGTTCATTGCCAAACATTTTTTTTCCAATTTAAAAAGTTCCAATTCTTTTGGGAATGTGGCTCAATGTCACCAAAAATATTAGGAACCTTAAAAAACGAAAAACAAAGTTGTATCACTCCCCCCCCAATTGCAATATGAATTGATTTTAAAGTGATACATTCAAATGAGGAAGTCAGGTTACCATCAAAATCACAAAACAGGACTCACGTTATAAGGCTGAGCAAAGCCGGCCTCCCTGTGTGCCTCCTCCAGCCAAGCTTGCTCGGAGCTGATGGGTGCTTTCACGGGTGGCGGGACTCGAGGCTCCGCGCTCAGATTGACGGCGCCTGCGCACGCGTTCCCTCATATTAATACACGTCTCATCAACGTACGCCTTCAATGCTGCTGATTTTTTACCAGAGGTTTGTGTAGAAGAAGACGACGAGCTGCTTTTTTCTAAACGCTTCTTCACATCTGACGCGACAGCCAACTTGATCTCGGCTTTTTCGGATGCTTTACCGTTGACCTGGAAAATGACCACAAACATCAACTATTGTCGTAAAAATTTTATAGATATAAAATACAGTATGATTATTACTGTGGTTCTTAGAGACCTTTTTTATTTGTATTTTTGGGGTTGCAAACCTGATTGGACTGCGCGGCTGCACTCTTCCCATTCATCGTTTGTGCTTGGTGGGCATTTGTGTCACTCTTGTCAGCCTGGAAGGGAGGGGAAAAAAAATCCAATCCAGCAATACTGTCTGCTAATAAGGCTCAATTTAATTTTCATTTTCTATTTTGAGGTTGGCGTTCGACCTGGGCAGAGACGCCATCTTGTGCTTCGCCGGCGGATGTCGAACACGCACGCTCCTCGTCCAGCAGCAACCTCCATGACATTTCCTCCTCGTACTCCTCTTTGGACTTTCTAATGAAGGAAGAAGGGTTTGGGGTTTTGAAAAAGGGTTACATTTTCAAAATAGGGTTTGAGACTAGGGATAGAGTATCAAATTAGGGTTCGGGTTTGAAATTAGGGCTTTAAACTAGAGTTAGGGTTTAAACTCGAGACAGGGTTTTCAAAGTAGGGTTAGCGTTTGCTGGCCATTCTTCGTATTTTCTCCTGTATTGAAATGGTTTGTGAAGTGTTGCCAGTCATCCCAAACCACTCCAGAAGATGGCGCTCCTCACCTAATTTTTCCCAATTATTGATGGTGGCATTTTGGATTTGGGGAGCCTCCAGGTGGGGATTTTGTCACACCGGGGGTGTTTATTTGCATCCCGGTAGGACAAAGTGGATAAAAATAGTTAGCTTCTTCCTCAGTAGCGGCTTGCTACTGGTGTCAATGGCTCCTCCTGAAATTAGCCTGAGCCTAAGTAGCTTAAGTGGACGTTTGTTCTGGGTCAGGATGCTGCCACTTGCTAAATCCCATCTCGAGAGCAGGACAGCACTGTGGCCAACTTAGATGCGATCATTACACATGCATAAATTCCGTATCATAAACTCACTTCGCACATTTGCTTGGGGGGGGGGGGTTGCGGGGGGGCACACCGATTTGTGTCATAATTGATATTTCTCTTCCATGTTCGAAAAACACACTTGTGAAGTTCCTATTACTGAATTGAAGCTTACTTGAGGACCTCCTGCAGGATCTTCATCTCTTGCTGCTGCAGCTCTGTCATCACGTCGTCGCCATCAGTCAAGCAATCGGGGAGCGCTCCTGGGGGCGATGGAGACGTATGTTCGTTTGCCAGCCACATTCGCTCTCTTTCTGTTTGTTTATCTGCATTTTTATTAAAATGGAAGGTGGGGAGGGGCAACTTAAAATTGTCAATAAACCCACGTAAACGTTTATTAGCATGTCTCTTACTAGCCTCACGCTAATTTATCGTCCTCTTGTCAACAAATTCATTTCTTAGCATCGTTTAGGTTTCAACGAACTGTCATTGGTTCGAAAAGAATCTTGGAAAGTGTTACCGTTCCTCTCTTTAATGACCCGCAGAGCCTGAAGCTGCAGCTCCATGTTCTTCTGGACCATCAGCGAGCGAAAAATTTGGAAGTCATCTGTGGCCAGGACTGGCTGGAACACAGACTGAAGCCGAATAGAAAGCAAAAAAAAGGTTCGTGTTTTACTTTCCCCTGTTATTGTGACATTTATAGCTCTCAGGTTTTGCGGCGAGTTGGAATTTGGTGTACCTGCACCGTTTTGGACTTGGCAAAAGGGGAGGTGCACGCATCCAAAAACTGCTGCTCATTGATGCCCACATCCTGCATGTAATTCTCCAGTAGCTTCTCAACCTGTGAAGAAAAAAAAAGTCTAATATACAGCTGTAGCTCAATACTTTAGATATTGTGGAAAATGTATTTTATTGAGTAGTTTGACTCAAAACGTAAAACCTATATTGATTCACACAGTGACACGTTTATTGATTGGCTTTTTATCATTTTGATTATCATTACTTTACATTTCTTCTAGAAAATCTTAATGCTTAACTTAAAAAATGAAAACAAAAATAAATAAGGGATTTGTTAACCGGTTTAGGAAAGTCTTATTTATATAATTATGAAACATGATTTCATTCATGTATATTGTGATTAATATATTTTGATTTTGTACTAAGGTAGTTTTGTTTTGTTGTCATTTTAAAGTTTTTTATGTGTATTTCTATATTTGTTAGCATGTGGAAAAACAGCTGTACTCACCAACTTTTTATACTGCTGATGGATTTCCGTGTACGCTAACTTATTTTCATCTTCATCATCAAACACTGAAACGTAACGACATGTAGATTAGACAAAGAAGGGTGTCCAAATTCACATTTTATTTACGTTGTTTTGTTAAAAGGAAAAAAAGAAACCCTTTAATTCAGCACATCTAAAACGCTAATTGCAAGTTGCAAGAACATTGGGTTAGCATTAGCTTTAGCCACTGAGCCAAGATGGAGGATAGCAGAGGTACTTTTTCCTCTTTATCTTAATTTCAACTCTTAATTGCTGTTTTTATCTGGGTTTGTTTAATTGAGCACAAAGCTGATATGTTTTTTTACCGAGATATTAGTGACATGGTCTCGTTTATTTATTTATTTCTGGAGGAAAATGTTTTGCTGTGACAGGTATAAAAACATGCATTATTAACATACGAAGCCAAAATTGGGGCTGGAGGAAGTAGTGTCCTATAATATTTGAGCATTTATCCAGTAATTGCCATTTATTCACTCAGGTTTGTTTCATGGCTTTGGGGAAATAATGTTTTTTTTCAACTAATATTTTCAATTACAATGCACATACGTCAGTAGTAATACAGATAAAATGTGCCAGCATGTTTCTTGCCATACAGACAACCCACGTTAGCATTAGCTTGAACTACGGAGCCCAAATGGAGGCTACAGGAGGTAGTGGCTAATGACGCTTGAGTTTTTACATCCTAATTTTGTTTCTTAACTGCTACCTTTAATGACTCGTATGCCGTTATTGGTTTGGAGAAAATGTCATATGTTTTTTATATCTTGCATTACAATGCTGATTGGCGGCAAAATGTCAACAGTAATAGAGATAAATCACTTAACGCGCAATATGAGCTTTACCCACCGGAGCCGCAATGGAGGCTGACGGAGCTTCCGTGCTAACATAAACAAAGCTCAGAATATGACCTGACGTGTATGTGCGTGGAAAATGTCACCTGTGCATTTGTGCTCCATGAAATCCGTGACTGGGATTACCCACTCGGGACTTCCCAGGTAGCCCACGATGCTCTCCACGACCCACTCGCTGTCGTCATCAGCCATGTTGGGTCCAGAAATCGGCGATGGCTACGGCAGCTGTTGGCCGAAGACGAGCGGCGCTCCAGCGGGCTTGTACGCGTCCAAACTCCGCTACGGTACCGACGCACGAAGCCGGCAGATGCACACATTTATGTTGATTGTTGTGCTCCATAAACAGCCCCCCATTGCACACGTATGCATTCGCAGTGAATGGGGGCTTTTTTTTGTTGTTTTTTTTCCACCAAGAGCAGGGAAGAATTGCTGCGCACTCGTGGAGTCCAGGGTGATGACGCCTGGTGGTTGCCGAGGAAACAATGACGTCACATCTCCTTCTCAAGCCAATTGAAACTTCTGCTACTCACCCCCCTAACTGCAGTAAAATTGTAATGAGCGAAGGATGCCGCTTTTGGGCATTCTGTTCCAAATATCAGCTTTGAGTGTCATCAAGAGGGTTGCAAAAGAGAGACTGGAAGAATCACAGAAAGGTGCAAAAGTGGACGACTTTGGAAAATTGAAAACAAAAAAATAATGATGAATAAAATGATTTTTATCTTTCAACTTCTTGTTAGAGAACACTAAATTGTGCAAAAAAAAAAGACGACAGAAGTCAAATAAATGTAACCCTCGACTCGCTGTCAGACAGCAGGGGGAGCCGGACTTCAGCCATTCATTTTTTTTAAATGTATTTTTATTTGGACTTCCGACATTACAAAAAAAAAAAAAACACCACACATTTTGGCGTTTAAGATCAACAAGCAAAAGTCTTGTTAACAGTACTAAATCTAATGCAGAGTCGCCCACGCAGTTAACATCAGTTAAGCAATAAGCCAATAGGCATTCGCAGCACGCGCACGCGCGCAGACACAAACCGCATAATAAGGAGGACTTCATTCATTGACACGCGTCATTTCCACTCGAACTCAACTGCATCTCTGCACGGTGAGCACATACGCGCGAGCACGCGCGCGCGCACTAAGCCCAACTCTTGCTGCAAGCGAATGTAAATCAAAACTTTCTTTTGATCTCTCTCTGTAGGTGCGGGTGCTTTCCTCAACCGTCGTTTGCGGAAATGCCCGAGAGCAGCCCTCATGGCAAGAGCACTGGCAGTTCGACGGAGGATGTGTTTGCTGACACCTACGCGGAGAAAGGAGGTCCCGGCCCCGTCAGGACGCTGGTGTGGAGAAACATCTGGCTCATGGTTATGCTGCATGCCGGCGCTCTCTACGGAGTCTGCCTCATCCCGACCGCTTGTGCACTCACGCTCGCCTGGAGTAAGTAACATGACGACATTGCGTGATTAGAAATATGCCATCAGCGTGTGGATGGATTCTTCAGTTACAATATTCAAAATGGAATTATATTGCCCTAACCTCAACGCGGACACACACAATTATGATCAGAAAAAAAGTGATGACGTATTTTTTAAAAGTCTGTTTTCAAGCAATTAATTAACTTGATTGATTTGTAGCCTCCAGTGTCCTTATTGTACACAACTAACTCTTTACTTGATGCAACATTGATGTTATCAAAGAACAAAAATGCAATTTTAAAGCTTTATATTAGTTTGCAAAACAACGTGTTCATTGTGCTGTTAGTGTTTGATACAATGAGAATTTAATTCTCATTTATTCCAATGAGCAGATTACCACGGCAAAACATTTCATTTAATCTTTCCAAAAAGTATCCGTTCATGGGAAATTTCCTCCCCTTCCCAACCATAACTGCTAATATAGTCTAGTGAATATCATTTGGTTTTTTTTCCTGACATCTGCCAAGGATGCAACTATGTATTTGATTGTGTTCTCACCCATTATCCGAGCTGTTTATCCTCACAAGGGTCGCGGGCGTTCTGGAGCCTATCCCAGCCGTTTTATGGGGCAGTATCCAGGATTTATTATTTAAAAAAAAAATAGATATTTCTTATCATGGAAGAAGTTTGAGGGCAGGCCTCCTTCTGCTTCATTTATTTGGTCGATGGAAACCAATTTATCAAGCACATTACTGCCACCTACAGGACTGGGGTGCAAGGGCACCAATCATAGGGTCATTGGTAACGACAGCGTGCATATTGAAAACACACTTTAAACTTACTCAAACGCATTGTAAATATATTTACACGTGCTGCTGTCAGCCACAGCTCACGGCCAGACACTCACACACATACTCCCACCAGATCCCACCTCTTAAAGGCACACATCTAACACACAGACAGTGCGGTTTGCCCTGTTTTTTTTTATTTTTATTTATTTTTTTACTTTTTTTGCTTGCAATTTTTGTGCGTGCGTTCAACCACATTTACAATGCGTTTAAGAAGAAAATGAAAACACTCGCAAGGAGTTTCTGTGGGCTACAACTCATGCTCAGACACTTTGTGACTCCAGTTCTTTGATGACACTCACAAAAAAAAAAAAAAAAAAAAAAAAACACTATTTAAAAGCACACAACCAACACACGAATACTACAGTACGCACAGGACTTTAACTTTCTGAAACTAGGTTACATATTGACATTCTCGTTTGTTATGTTTTATTGTATTTTTTATAGTACAGCACCGTTTTTCAAAATATGAGATTTTTCTTTTGGGGGGGGGGGGGCGGAATGGATTGACTGCCGAAAACTGTTCCCATTTTTCCGAATCATTTTTTTAAGATGCCACCATTGGAATTTGCGGCCTCTACAGCAGACGGATCGGGGTGCATTTCGCAAATTCCAGAACAGT